TTCGTTTGCTTCCTCCTGGCTTAACGCCACTGGGCATCTCGATGTACAGTCTGGTGCCGCATTGAGTTTGCCAGGGAGATGCTTTATTATTCGAAATTTGTACATCAAGGACCGTTCTTTGAAGTTAAACAGTCTTGGGTTCTTTATGTCCTCCAGAGCTTTGTCCGAGAAGATCTTCACCAGGGGCTTATGGTCCACGGTGACTAACAGCTCTGGGCACCCCAAAACGAACATCCGGCATGCTTCCAGTCCGTAGACTAATGCCAATGCTTCTCCTTCCACTGGTGCATATCGGGACTCTGCGTCATTAGTGAATCGGGAGCGGCCAGGATTAACTTCCAGCGGTCCTCACCACACTTGGTCCAGCCGGTGGCACAGTTGCAGTGCTTCTGGAAAGAAAATATCCTAAGCCTGTTTTGCTGAAGTCCATCGACAAACAAGTTGGCCTATTCACTTCGAAGGTTCTTACACCGTTCTCGATTTCTTCTGTGATCCTTCTTTTTGACTCTTTGAAGATTCGATCGAGTGTGCTGTCCCAGTAGAACTTCGATTTTTTGTCTTTAGCAGCTCCCCGGAACGGGCCATTACCTCGGCCTGAGAAAAAAGCGTAGGCTACCTGGTTTACCATTCAAACCAGGATCTTATGTCAGTTATATTTTTTTGGTGTTGGGAAATTCGTATTGTTTCAGTCATTTTTTGGTGGGTTTTATCCCGTCTTCTGTTATCAAGAACCCGGCAAATTCCACCTCTTTTTTTCGAAGTGAAATTTCTGGGGGTTGAATACGATACCATTTTGCTGCAGTTATTTATGTACTCCATAGTATGCCAAAATGATGATTCAATAGAGTTGTCCCATAGTATCGTATCGTCAATACATCTTGTTTTCCTGGGCATATCTACAGTAATATTGTCGAACCTGCGTGTATATCGTCTCCTGACGCTTGGAATCCTTGTGGTGCCCGAAGATAACGGTATCTACCCCATTCCGTGATGAAGGTAGTTGCATCTCTTGCCGATGGAGAGAGGGTTAGGCTATGATAGCCATTCCATACATCCAAAACGGTTTTTCTAGTTTTCGCAGGCACCAGCGATGCCTGATTGAAAGGAGACGGTGTATGATGGGTTTCTCGTAGGGTAGCGGTGTTGAGCTTCTGTAGGTCCACCGTACGCCTCGGTGACCCGTCCTTTTTCGGTGCAACCACCATTCTGGAGCACCATGTTGTAGGTGTACCCACTGGTACAGGTTCTACGATGCCCAATGCCACGTCTCGGTCGAGGTCCTCCTTGACTCTTTTCTTCCAATGGTGTGTGAGACCGGGATTGGGGTGTGGACAGCTGAGTGTTTGGCCCCCGGGATGAATGTGATGTCCATGGGTTTTCCTTCCATCGCCTGCAGCCGTTGATGTGGGCATACATTGAATGCACTGGACTCAAAATGCTCCTTCATCCATCGTTCCAATCGGGGTCTGTTTTCTTCCATATGAGCGAAAGGGATACTGTCCGGCTTAGGTGGGACATTAGTTCTTTGTGGGCACCCACATGGTGCCTTTCTGCCGTCGCTAGTTGCTAACGTTCTGCTGGGAAGTTGGGTCTGAAAGTTATCTGGCACCAGACCAAGGTCTTTTAGGGCTGACTCGGACAGGCAGAAATCTGATGTATTTTTTGATACATATATAATCTGACGTGTTTCCCGCGATCCTACTCTGACTTTAGCGAATATCATGCCTTTTATGTTTAGTAGGTTATCCGTGATTCCCGAATTGGTGACTAGTCGGTACTAGACATTTGTCTGGACACTTCAGAATTTTTGGATTTCTGGTCCGCTAGAGCATGTCTGTGCCCCAGTGTCTGCGATCGCCTCGATCCGGTGAGTATGGAGGCCAGCTTGTCCTATGGATATGTGCCCGAATTCTGCATGGGCCTCTGGAATCAGAGTTATCTCTACCATCAGGGTTGGTGCTGGATCAGGAGTACCTCTTCGGAACTTACTTTTGTTCCAAATCAGGTGCGGCACGGCCTTTGGTTTTGTCAGGTTGATTTCACCTCTCCTTTTCACTTGTCCATCTTGGACGATCACCGGTTACGACCCTTCTTGTGTCTTTGGGTGGTGAAAGTTCTGGATTCTGCTCCGACCACACCCGCTGTAGATTTGTTGCTGGACCCTGCTTGGTTTCTTGCAAACCCCTTTTTTTCGGTTGTCCCACATCTTTGCTGCTGGGTTTATTCAGGGTTCAGTGTCTCTCGGGGTTGAGTGTCTCGGTCTGGTCTGGTTGAGGCCGCTGCCTAAACCCGATCTCTGTGTGCTCGTTGTAGTAGGGTATACGTTACTATGGAGATGGGGGGTAGACTTGTCCGTGGTCTCTAGGCTGACCAGCCTGTTGAATTTTTCTTCCAGTGTTGTAAGTGTCGCAGTCTCAGACAACACCCTTTGATGCTCCAGGCTTGCCAGCCCAGCCACCATTTGTCCTGCTACCATATCGTTGGAGTAGCTGACTTTCCGACCGCATCCTATCCCGTTCGGACAAGTCACTGAAAAGTCGAGAATTTCGCGACTGATTCGATGCCCCGAAGTCCGTAATTGATTCCCCCCTCCTTCTGCCTTACGGGTGGAATTCTTGCCGGTACACTTCTTTGTGTAGGCTTCTGAAGGAGAGCTTTATGTGCCGTAACAGCTGTTCCTCCGTGACGGAAGTACTTCTGTTCCTACCATATCGAACAACAGCCTGTTCACTTCTGGGGCACAGGCTGTTCTCAGCTCGTTTCTTAACGCTGTTGGCTCCGTCAACCCACACATCTCCTTGTATCTATTCAGGAGTCAATGAATAATCACCATCACTTGAGTCCGGTTCTATATTAGGTCTGTCGGGTCTCCTTGTAAGTTTTTCGGCTGTCCTCCGGCAGGGCGATGATCTCTTGCTGTAGCTCGATGAGCTGTTGGTGTAATGTCTGCTGTGTTTGTTCGTCCATATTCCAACGTTGTTTTAGCAGGTTTCCTATATCGGCGACGCCATGTAAGGTAGCAGCGAGACGACGTGTATCTGCCAAGCCACTCGTCGCCGTGAATGTCTTGTTTAAGTAGCCCCTCTCGCCTCTCATGTAAGCGGGCGAGTCTCTTCTATGGGGGTTGACGCCAAGACCATTCCGGTCTTGTAACTAGGCGTCTTAGGTTTGATTCCACCTCTACAGGCACATGGATTCTTTTTTGGTTGATACCCAAACAGCTGTTTTGAATTGGCCAGAAGTGTCATGGATGAGAGAGGCAGAAGAAACCAATTGCCAGAATTAATTGCTACAATAAGTTTAAAGATTTTTTTTTTTTTTGCTACACCAACACACTAACATGTCAGGGATGTCCCAAAAACTTTTTTGGGATTTTGTCACCTGAAGGACAAAATCCCCAGTGGTAATGCTTATTAGAGAGGAGGCATTCATAACCTATCCAAACTTTGAAAAATAGGCACACAGTCAGTCCTTGGTAATATCAGCGGGCTCCCTATGCACAGTCACACGTTTTTATAGTTTACATATACACTGTCTGAAGATAGTCCTTGCTGTCAAAATGCTGCCAGCCAGCTGCTTGACTTCCTCTTCTGTTGCTAGTAGGATGTCCCACATAGCATTTAATTTTTTGGGCCCTATTTTCAGGCTTCTAAGTGCTTCCTCTATTGTCTCCCTGTTGACCCCAATTATTTTCTGGGTTTTTACATCCAAGGTCAGCAGAGATATTGTCATCTAACATCTCCAGTACTGGGAAGAACTTGTTCACATTTAAATATTGGTAAAATTTTTCCTGTTGTTGGGTATAGTAGCCCACATTTTTTTTCAGCCTATTCATGGCCCAAGCTGTTTTGGAGGTGGGGTTTATCCCATCTGCTCCTCTGGTGGCTGAGGACCCACCACAGCAAACACAATATACCATTCACAAACAGTAACATTTAGTAAGGAAAATAAAACCTTTAAAAAACAAAAACGTTTGACATGTAATTAAAAACAAAAATTAAAGGAAAAAAGAGACATGTAAAAATACAAAAATAAAATTAACTAAATAACATAAATAAAATTTAAAAATTAAATAAAAATAAGATACCAACAAAAAGTTTAAAAACCTGGCTACTGCTGGGTGGAAGAATAAAAAAAAAACAAATAAAAATAAAAGTTTACCTATATAAAAATTGTTGATGTAAAACAAAATCATCGAGTAATGCAAAATAACAATTTGGCATACAGCAGGGCAGAGGAAATAAAAGAAAAATCAAGTCAAAATAAAGGTTTGCTTAAATAAAAATGGCCACAGTAAAACAAAAAATTAAACAATTCAAAATAAAATAAAAAAATTACTTCCAATTGGACAGGAGTTGCAAAAAATGCACTCAAAACAATTTATAGAAACAAACGAAAAATAAAATCTTAGTGCACTTAAAAAATTACACTGAACAAAATAAATTCAATTGAAAATATGAAAAAAAGGCTTAACAGAAATTAGGCACCAATCTTTCATAAATGGGACAAAAACGTGTTGTAAAAAATATGACTGAACTAATCCAACTTAGTGGCAGAACCCTCAAATGATTTTCTAAATGTAGCTTGGGTATGGCACAAGCAAGGCTGAAAGTGTAGGGCACCCAGTGAGGATCAAACTCACTACTCAGTCATAATTGATCTAGCTAGATAAACTTCCTAAACATTACAACATGTCAAAGTGCCTCTGGGTTGCAGAACCATCTTTTAAGGTGTTTTTATATCTTGAATCATATTTACAAACAAGTTCATTGCTGGTTAAGCTTTTTCTTCCAGTTGCTTTTTAAAAAATATGGAAGTGCTGGCAGGATACAACAAGGCTGCCATTACACCATAAATTTATCTTAAGTTTGTTAATCTCTTTTTGTTTTATGCAACCTGAACAGAAATAAAGAATTGAAAATTTCCATAACCTATATTTAAATGCATGCATCATTTTTCACAGATTTCCTTTGAGTTGTGGTTTTTCCTTTTCTCTGCAGCCATCAGAATTGAACTTGTTGGTGGCTCATTGGAAATCAGTGGAAGAATCGAAATCACTCGTAGAGGAGAAAAGGGAAGTGTCTGTGACAATGGATTTGATAAGAACGAGGCAAAAGTTATTTGTAGAATGATGGGGCACAGGTAATTTTGAGTTTTAATATTTTTACATATTTCTTTGGATAAATTAGATAATGTAAATAATGACTGCAATGACATTGTTTGGAGGCTCAAATTATTTCCACATATGCTTACTATTATTAAGAAAATATTTTTACTGATCCATTCTTCAGCTCTCATAAAGTGTAATTTATGAGAATCAACTTAACAATTTTCTCAAGAAAAAAATAACTGTCAATGAATAGGAATAATTTGTTTGGTCTATTTTGACAGCATGAGTTGTATCAAATGTCCAGCTGATAATAAACTATGATAAGTGTATAGTTTCCTAATGGTGCATTTCTAAGCAAAGGAACTCTCTATACCATTGTTTATTTTTAATTTGTACTTGCTCTTCTAATACTATTATCTGAACCCGATCCCCAGGCTCCTCAGTTCCCATTTCTCATAGTTAAATGTAGCTGCTTTCATCTCCTATCAACACCACTGAATAACAATTGCTATGGTCTAATTCAGATCAACTTTAATTTTATAAAAAAAAAGCACTTGAGATATTTTTTACAATTTCAGTTTTTTATACTAATTTTAAAATTTAAATCTAGATTATTTTTAAGGGGATGTAGTCAAAAATTCTCAGCTAATTCAAGAAGTGATTTCAAAACCAATTCTTCTCATTAAGTCAGATTTTCAAAAATAATTCACATGAAGAATTCATAATTCTCACTCTGTAATGTAATTTTTAAAAAAATAAATTTTCATTTCAGTTCTGGAGAAGTAATTCCAAATATATTTGGACAGGGAAAAGGTACCATCTGGCTTGATAACCTCAATTGTACTGGATCAGAATATGATATTGAAGTTTGTCCCAATCTTTCTTGGGGAAAGCATAACTGTGAGCATGATGAGGATGTTGCCTTGAAATGTTTCAAAGAAGCAAATACAAGCTTATCAACATCCACAATTTCCTCAACAGACCAAAATTGTAAGTCAGCAGTTTTTCTGATTAATTCATTACTTCCTTCTGATTTTTGTCTTTTAAGAGAGATATTCAAGCAATTTGGCAAATAAACCAAATGATGTCAGTAAATTAACCAACCTAACCTTTGAATTCGTCATCTTTTACATAACATATAGTAATAGATATGAAGCATTGATAGAAAATGAAAGAAATGTTCCCTCAATTATTTTCTATCAGAAAAATAATTTTTAATGGATTTCTGCAGCAAAAATAATTATTAATGTAAAACTAATTGACAAAAAATGCTTGTCAATGCATTTCAGTAATATTATATATATATATTTTTATTATTATAAAACAAAACTCAGGACAGAAGTAAAAGTAGTAAGCTTTATTTAGCTAAATGAAACTCAGTTACAAAATAAAAGAGAGGTAAGTCACAGATTATATTGCCCATGTGAAAAAAAACCGGTACCCAGGAGGATAAAACTTAAAAAATCACATCAGTGCCTAATGATGGCCAAATTTTCAACACATCCTAACGTTCCGATTACTGTTGGATCTCAGCAGGAGACCCTGATGGTACCTTTTTTCACTCATCCAGTATAGGAAAATCTTGTAACCAGGTCATTCTTTTTTTGGGTCACCTAAGTTCACTCTGTTTTGGAAGTGTGCCAAAAGAGAGGATAGGAGAGAAAGGTAAAGAGAAAAGAAGGATATGGCTGATCATAGAATATATTACTGCTTGAGGAGTTCACATTAAATTTCTGTTTTTTATTTATTTATTTTTCTTTTAAATCTTTAATTTTCTCTTTATTTAAGATTTGACTTTAGCCAACGCCTATATGGTTAATGAAAATGGACGATGATGGAATTGGCACAGGAATTCCAAAGAAACATTTATGAGGAGTGTTAATTTATTCCTTTCACAGGAAATGATCTTAATGCCATGGGGTTTTACCTACCTTCCACTCACAGCTAAACAGTAGCAGTAACCTCGTTATGTTACCTGATGTGAATTTTTAAATTGTTCAACCTGTTTTCCTGGGTCTCAAAAGTAAGGAATGGTTTACAAGCAGTTGCCTCCTTTTTGGGAAAGATAATGGTGTCTTAACCCATATGCGGCCAGGAATATCTTATTTCAACAATAGATCTAGGATTTTTACTGACTTCATCTGCAAGTTTTGACGTTCAAATAGAAACCAGTTTTTTCACTTTTACTACAAGTATATATCATTTATTGTGTTGAACCCATATGCGGTTGGAATCTTATTTCAACAATCTACTTCTCTACCAAGTTTGGTTTCGTCTTGAAGCTGCCCAGGTCAGACCTTCGTTTAATACCGAGAACTTTTTTTTTTTTTGGTAATATTTTTTTTTGTCAAAACTATCGTATTAATATTTTTTTTCCTCTTATTTTATCCTCGTCTGCAAACCATTAAATACAGACTGGGATATAATACTTCTTCGAAAACATATAGCTTAATATTTTTACCAAGACTTATTCTGGTAATTTATATTGCAAAAAGGTCAGACCTTCTCACTTTTCTACCAAAAAAAAGAAAAACGGTCGTGAGCAAAAATTTTTTTTCAAAAATGATGGCTTATTTTTATTTTTCGTCAAAAACCAATTTTACAGACAGGGATATCCTGTTTGATGAACAAGTTTATAATCTTACCCAGGACAGACCTTCTCCGTTTATTGTCAGACGTTAGAGGACACAGTCCAGAAATGAAAAAAAAAATAATTTTTTTGTCCTTTTTGGCTCAGACATTCAAAGAACTTCATCGAGACTTCCTCCATACAAAAATATTAATTTTTTTTCTCATTCAAAATCCTTTATTTGAGAATTTTGCAAAAGTCCAAAATAATGTTGGTCGGGATTTTGGCCTTAAATTTTTTGAACCAGCACAAAAAAGAAAAAAAAAATATATAAATAACATTTTCCTTTAGCAAAGGATGATTTTATTTATTTTCAAATATTATCATGTACATTGACTTATCTGAACCTTTCATTCTTTTTAACTTTTTGTATTTCATCTTCATAAAAAAAATTTTTATTTATTCATTGATTTACTATTGGGATTTACTTGTTTTCCTGCATGTTTAATAAAAAACTCTTATTTGAATCCAGTCTTTATTTGTCATTCTGTGTGAATATATTAAATATATTTTATTAAATGCACTTGTTAAATTCACGCATATTTTTATTTATTTTTACTTTGCTTGTTTTGTCTTGTGCATGTAGTTTAGTGTATATATATATATATATATATATATATATAAACCAGCATGCACGTATGTATGCATATGCAACATACGTGACAGTGTATATATATATATATATATATATATATATATATATATATATATATGTGTGTGTGTGTGTGTGTATGAATGTATTCCAATGGAAGGACATAAGGTCATTTTAATTGTGTTTTAAAATTACTCTTATTAATATTTAATCTCACTTTATCCTTTAATATTCTATAATTAGAATTATGAGAGTGTATATTTATCATCTGGAGGTATTTTCATTTTAAATTGATAATTTAACTTAAATTTAAATATACCAATCTTTAATTATCAATATTGATAGTAAAATATTAACTTAATTTTTTTTGGATAATTAAACACTCCAGAAGTCACCTAACATTAAACATTAACTATGAAATTAAACAAAAATCTAAATAAATTCAAATATAAAAATATATGTAATTATTTATAAATGTATGTGTATGTAATTTATGTATGAATATGTATAGGTACCTGTGTATATCGCTACATGTGTGTCTATGTGTGTATTTGCACATGTAAATAAACGTATGTATATATGGGATTTGCATGAATATGTATGTGATATATATAAGAAGAAAGCAAAGTCTTTAATATTACCCTCAAATATAATTCCATAATTAAACCTAAACTTTAAGTAAGTAAGATTACCCATATAAAAATAATGACAAATTGCATTCATAAATTAGATTAAAAGTAAAACTAATAAAGATGTTACCGTTAAAAAAGTATGATTGGTCGGGTAAACAAACTATTATAATTTAAAATATTTTTTTTAATATGTTCTCTATAAATGTGTTAATAAATATAGTATTTAACTTATATTAAATCCCTAAACTATTTGTTTAAAAAAAATTAAATATTTAAATTGATAGCAAACATCAAATTTTTTTTAGACAGCTAAATTTTTAGCATTAAAATTATTCTTTCTAAATTAAAAAAAAAACCCAATTACAGCCTCTTTCTCTTTACTTCCCTCTCCCTCTCCCTTCTTTTTCTTTTACCTTTTTATTTTTTCCCTACTCCCCTCCCATTTCTATATATCACTTCCATTAAGTTAACTGTCTAAATAGGTCATGATCTGGTCACTCCTCCTCCCCCAATATAAAGTATACTTGAGAGAGATATGAAATTAATCCCTCCCTATACTCTACCATGTCTCTTTAACTATCCCTTTTACACTCTCTGTTAAATTACAAAAACTTACACTACCCATCAATTTTAATTTCATTTTTTGTTTCATTTCATTTTTGAAAGTGCTATCCAGCATCTTTTAAAAGGACTCTGGTGAAATAAATTATTATAATGGTATCTTAAAAAAGTGGTCTGTTTTTCTTTTATATATATATATATATATATATATATATATATATATATATATATATATATGCCATAAATTTTATATATCCTGGTCACAATAAAGAATTTAAAATCTCCTGAACCTATTTTTAAATAAAAATGCATTGGTTAGTGTATCTGCATATATTTTCAGTGGGCAACCCCAAGACCACATTATTACATTAGTTGTAGCCATGATCTGGCCAGTTTGCTTTGGCTTAGCCAACAAATAGTGATAGTTATTTTGGCCTTTTTCTTTCTTCTTTTTTTATTTTTAAAATAAAATCCTTTCATGACAGATACAATGAAAAGAAATATAAGAAAACCAGTAAACAAATAAATCACCTACCCCATTCAACTTGTTTTATGTAATATTCATGTTATCTGTTTCAGTTTCTGAAGTGTAGAATCCTTTCCCTTGAAATGGTCTCCAGATAGCTTTGCATTTAATGAAAATAATTTCTTCTATCGCTTCCAATGAATTCTCTGTTTCAGACTATCTTCATCTTTGTTGAGAAGATTCTAGCATACATATGCATGGCCTTGGTGTCTATATCTGGAAAAATTTTCCAATTGCAAAGGGATTGTCACTTGAGTCACCAGATTTTTTTTTTCATGTTTTCCACTTTCACTATTGCACTTTTTCTTTTATCAATCCCCTTCTTGTCAGGACTGCAATATATTAGACGAAATTTCTGACAGTATAGAAATGGCTATCTCCCTCTACATTGATTTGCAAACATTTGTCTTTGGTGATTTTAATGCTCATCACATCATGTGGCATATGCATTCTAACATTACTAATGTTTCTGGTATTCAGACTTTAAATTTTTTTATTAATCAGTCATATAAATAGTGGATTTTCTTGTTTCTCTAACAAATCTGATCAACATGCTTCTTTACTTGATTTGTTCCTTTGTGTTTCATCATTTGTTTGGTATTCCTGCTATATATCAAGAGATTCTTGATCCTGCTATATATTGAGAGATTCTTTATTCTTGGAAAAGTTTAAAACAAAATCTGCAATGTTACTGGTCTGGAACTTTTCTCTTAATACTTTCATGGTAAATGTTATGATGAACTTTCCTCTACTTTATAAATTTAAACACAGTACTAGATTGGCAACAAGGTTTCATCATTTTACAGTTGAATTGGCTAGATGTAACCATAAGATCTTTACTAACAGCCTGTTTTCTTGCATTTTTCACTTCTTCTTACACCTTATTTACCGACCAATTTTGATCTTCGAAAATTTAAATGCAACATCAATTGTTTCCTATTGCCTTTTTGATTCCTCTTCTTTTATTGCTCTCACACCTTAATAATGTTTCTTATTCTTTTATACAGAGTAACACCTTACATCTTAGTGGCTTTATTGCTTTGCTTGGAGAAAACAAGCAAAAAACATCACAGGTTTCACTCACTTTTCTGTTATGCCTTTTACTCTGCAGCCATAAGAATCCAGCTGATTGGTGGCAAATTAGAAATCAGTGGAAGAATTGAAATCACTCGTAAAGGAGTCAAGGGAACTGTCTGTGATGACCATTTTGATAACAATGATGCAAAAGTCATTTGTAGAATGATGGGATACAGGTAATTTTGATTTTTAATATTTTTGATTGATCCGTTCTCTAATCCTCTCAAGCTTAATTTCTCCATTGCTCAAATATGTTCTTGCATATTTATTGTTATTAACAGAAAATTTTGCCCGATCTGTTCTCCAGCCCTCATTAGGTGTTATCCATGAGAACAAAAGAAACCTCTTCCTCAAGAGAATAATAAATTATCTACAAAAATTACTCATGTCTATATCTTCTGGTCTGATCTATTTCTGCAGTATTAGGTGCCTCAAGAACCCATATGATCAGATAATATAATACATGGGGTCACTTCCCTAACCCTTCATTTGTAAGCATCTTCTTCCTTGTGCTGTTAAGATGTAGCATCATAGGGGTTTCCATTGTCCTACTCTGTATTCTTGCAGTTTCCATCTGATTTAGAATAATTGTCACATCCATTGTCCAGTACAAAAGATGTTTTGCATGCCAGTATTGTAGTAATGCCAGATCTGTTCTGTTTGATTCTACCACTGACCACTCTCAACATCCTGCTACCAATGACTTCATAGTAACCATGGCAATGGTGGCTTCCTGTGTTTTACATTCCCAAACCTGTGATTTGATTGTTATAGATTTGAATTCAGTAATTGCCAGTCACAGCTAGAGAGCTCAGTCTACCCTACTACTTAACTCATAGATGGGGGATGAGATGGATTCATACCTCTGCCAAGTGTATTTGCATGTAAATGGACAAAACAAACTTGACTGAAATTTAAACTTGGCTCTTCTGCTATCCATCATACAACCTGCATAGTATGTCATAAATACCATATTTTGCCACACATATAGTCTGACAGTAGGATCTCTTCCCCTTTCTTGTTAATAAATGCTGCCTACTTTTACCTCCTTACAAAATTTTATCGACAACTATTATTATTTGGTCATTTCAATCAACTTTACTATTTGAAACTTTTTTTTACAATTTTAACTTTAATAATTGTTTTAAAAATTATTTATATATGGAGATTTATCAGCTGAATTGAAAGTTGTTTCAGAATCAGTTCTGCTGATTTTCTCAAATTAGGAGAGTGGGATTAGGCCAAGAAATTTTCACTCACCACCTATAATTAGTTTACTTATTTTTTTAATAATTTTATTATTTCAGTTCTGGAAAAGTTATTTCAAATATATATGGACAAGGGCAAGGTGTCATCTGGCTTGATGATCTCAATTGTACTGGCTCAGAAGTTGAACTTGAAATTTGTTCCAATCTTTCTTGGGGAACTCATAACTGTGGACACAGTGAGGATGTTGCCATTAAATGTATCAAAGTAAATGCAACCACAGGTATGACACCAACTTTCTCGACAGACCAAAATGGTAAGTAACTTGTCTATCTGATTAATTCAGGAAGTGTTTTGACTTATATTCTCATCCTTCCAAGAATTATTTAGACTATTGATGTTATTTTATTTGTTCTTATCAGTAAATATTAGCTGATCCAGTTTCCTTCAGATGTTTGGAAGAAAGTGGGAGGTATTTTTTATCATTGAACAATTCCAATGTTAGTACATGATCTCTTCCTATCCTGTTGGCAAGGATTAGAATAGCCATCCAAAAAATGAGGAACTTTTTAGTTGGTTATTTGCAGATATAACTATAAATCTCAGTAATATACACCAATTTGACATTAGTGCAAAACAGGTCCATGTCTACTATTCTGAGAATATGTCTTATTTTACTGTCAAACTCCTCCTTGTCTACTGTTTTTGACATTTTTATGAGTTCTGTCCTATAAGACTTATATTCAATATTATTGTTATTCTATCAGGAAATGTTGATATGTCATTACATAAAATAACTTGATCAAACCTTTAAAGCTTCATCCTTTGTATAGGTCACAACTAATAAATATGAATGATTAATGAAGAATAAAATACCAAATTCCTCTTTTCATTTTCTTTTTGAAAAATAATGTACAACTGATTTTCTATAGAAAAAATTGTTACCAATGAATTTCAGTTATATATATATATATATATATATATATATATATATATATATATATATATATACTGTTGATTTGAAAGACTGTTTGTAAAGCTAAAATTGCAGGTTTTTCAGTGGTTTGCTGAAAAGTAGGTATTTAAGGCATGCAAGCTTTGTGGTAGAGTGCTCAATATCAAAGACAGTCAATAGAATTAATATGAAAAAGTTTTGTTCACTTAACTCCTGCCTACTTCGAAGTTTTGTGGTTACATAGATGTGACCACTTGTTGGAACAGTTAAACTACTGATATTTCTCAATTTCTTTTTGTACTTTTATTGTGGTATTAGTGTGTTATTTTCCTTTTTTATTTTATTCTATTACTTTATTCTTTCCTCGCCTTCTCTGTTGATCTCTGGTTTATTACTATTGTTTTGACCATGTAATTTAGGTTATATTTTTGTGTGTGTCTGTGTGTTTATGCATATGCCTATGTATGTTCCATATGTATGTATGCAAACATGCATGCACGCACTCACCTGCACATGTATGTTTGTGTTCATGTGTTCATGTCTAAGTGTGTGTTTGTATTAACTGAATATGTATTTTTAGGTTTTATTATTTAACTTTAGTTAGTGTGTGCTTGTTTTATACTTTTATTGTAGTATGAGTGTTATTTTCCTTTTTACTTGATAAGTCTTTTATGTTTAGTTGTATGAAAGAACAGTTTTCTTTTTGTAGGTGCTGTTGTTAAACAAATTGTTTCTTTTGTATTTTTCCATTGGTTTATGTTTAGTCTAATATACATACTTGCACATGTATGTTTCTGTGTGTGCATCTGTGTGTTTGTGTTTATGTGGGTGTGTTTGTATGTTCATGTCCTTATATGCATTCTTGTTTTTCTTTCTTTTTTTTGAGTTTTGTAAAGAGTGTAGTTGTAGTAATTTGCTTCCCTTTTGTGTTGTTGGCTATTATTTTGTTGGCCATAATTTAGTTGATGTTGTGTGTGTGGTGTTTCAGGATAATCTATTCCTGGTTTTTGAATTGTACATTACTGGTGTTATTAGTTTTAATAGTGTAGACCCACTGACTGCCAACAACAGTTTTAACAGGTGAACGTTTTGTTAACTCATATGCATTCTTTGTTTTTAGAGCATTTATTTCTTTTTCCATGACATCTCACCATTTTATAAAGTTATTTGAATATTTTAAAGGCAGTTTTTTTTTCTTCAGTTCTTTGACTGTAACACTGATTTCTAATATATGCAGTGGTCATAATTGGTAGCTTTGATTCTATTAATAGGATAGAGATTGCCAAGATCTTTCTGCAGTAACATTTTGGTGTGCAGAGTATAGGACCAATTTCTCATGTTTAATTTGATTATTAATTAAAAGAGTTTTGAAATTTTCATAAGTGAATTCTGTGCTGTTTTCACTTTTTAGGCATTTTATAAAGCTGAACAGAGCAGTGTCAGCCAAATATTTCTTTGTGGCAAGAAACATAGTGCTTTTTTGTTTCATAAAATAAATCATAATTATACCAGAATAATCATCCACAAAACAAAGTTTATATTTGTAGACATTCAAAGATCTTGGTTCAGTCAGGCCAGTTAAATCACAAATGTTTAATATTTTAGTTCCTCTTTCATCAGGTAGTTTATTTTTATACTGTACCATTTTGTGTTGGATTCATATTTCACAGTTTAAATTTAAGTTATTGGTAATTTTCATGCTTTCCACTTCTTGTATCTGTATAATGTCTTTCAGATTGCACTGTCCAAGTGTTTGATGCCATTGTTTTAGGCTACATGTAACAGTTTTGGAGGTTACTGCAGTATTTAAATAGTATAAGTGTCCATTTTTTTATGTTGAATTTTATACTGTTAGGGTATGATTTCCAAGTAATTATGGACAAATTTTATGGATGCCCCTGTTTTGGTAGCATCTTGTACCGAGAATATACTTTATCTGAATGTAGGGATGTATCCTTTAAAATGAAATCTCACATATTTCCTTCTGTGTTCTTTTTACTGTGTGTATGTGTGAGTATTATTGTGTTATCAACTAATATCTGTCTAATATTATGTACATGGCTATGTTTTTCTAAGAAATGTTGTTTAATAGAACTAAGATCAGAAAGGTGACAGGTTAGTCTATGGGAGAGTATGGTTGTAGCAAAACCAATATATGTAGTGGGTTTATTATTAGCATCAGATAAAATCTCTGAATGGGCATGTAAATTGATACACTATGTTGTTTTTTTTTGTAGAGGATTTAGTTGTGTGGTTGTAGGGTTATTAAAGACTATGAGGTCTGTTGTTTTAAATTTTTATAATATATGATATATATAATGAGCTTAACTTGTTCATTATTATTATTATTATTAATGGGTTTAACATTTCTACCTACTATGTTTTTGAGTGTTATTTCATCATGTTTGTAATTAATATGCATTTGGTTACAATATTATAAGTTAATAGTGTTATGCTTATTTTGATGTACATTATTATTATTAATAATATCAATTTTGTTAGAGGTATTATTAAGTTTATTGAGATACATTTTAATTTGTTGATTAATGATGGAATTAGGAAATCCATTATTAACAAGTGTTTGTTTAATGTTATATAATTCTTTATATTTTATATTTTGACCATGTAATTTAGCTTTGTGTGTTCATGTGTGCATGTTTAGTAAAAGAGGTAGGAACATTAGTGTGTGTCTTTGGTCTTTGCATTCAGAGAGTCATCATAGTATTTTCGCTGTTATTCTTCTGAATCATATTTTCAGTTTCTTCAAAGCTTCACAATGCTTCTTTAAATTCACTAAATGTTAGTAGCTTGTCTTTCTGAATAATAACAGTTGTAAATGGTCTAAATTCAGACAGAAGTTCTTTCAGAAACATCACTATTAACAGACTGTTGCTAATCACCTCCCTGGATGTTTTCAGCTCTAATAATATAATCAGTAATAGTTTGGCGCTTGCTTTACATAGGCAGGTTAATTCAATATTCTATTTACATGGAAATTATTTCTGGTTTTCTTTTTGATAAATAGTGCTCTGTCAAAATTTGAGGTGCTTTTCTGCCATCATCAGTTTATTCTCTTAATAAGTAACAGAAATTGAATTAATACAGCAATCACATTTGCATTCTTCTCAAAGTACACTTTGTCACTGGGACAATCAAATGTTGCCAACATTGTTTCAAGTTATTTTTGGATTTGCATGTAATGCAAAAATTTTACCTCCTATAATTTGTATTTTGATTCATCATCGTTAAAATAAAGCCTATCCCAGGGCTGATAACTTGTGGAGTGGGTAGCTATGGTCAAATGCAAAATAAATAACAGTACTGTGCAACAAACAGAATTGACAGTTTGCAATAACAAGAAAAAGAACAGGGCAAAATAATATAAAGCAAGCAAACAATATATGCAAAGCAAATTCACACAAATAACATAAAGCAACAGTAATATGGCAGAAAGTTCACAAATTAAGAATTGGCATTAACACGCAAGCAAATTTGGACAAGCAAACATAGTGTTCTGAATTCAAGACAAGACAGATTAGGAGATTTGAGCTTCTCCAGAAATGTACTACTATATATTGTATGTTTATATTCCAACAATATTAGACATATAGTTAGCAATACAATACTGAAAAGATAATCATTAAAAATATAATTTTTTTCAGTTTCTTTCACATTGTTGTCTGTAAGGCAGTCAAGATTTTCTTCTATAGTATCTTCGTATGTTATTTCTTTCTCTTTTGCAACCTGAAAAGAAATAAACAACTGCAAATCTCCAGTATCTTTGTTTAAATGCATGCATCAATTTTCACAGGTTTTACTCTCTTTTTGCATTGTCTCTTTTTCTCTGCAGCTGTCAGGATCCAGCTGGTTGATGGCCCATCAGAAATCAGTGGTAGAATTGAAATCACTCGTAGGGGAACAATAGGAAGTATCTGTGATGATGAATTTGATGACAATGATGCAAAAGTTATTTGTAGAATGATGGGATACAGGTAATTTTGAATTTTAATATTTTTACATATTTTTTCGTTAGATAAATAAGTAATTAGATAATGCAAATAATGACTGCAACAACATTGTTTGGAAACTCAAATCATTTCTACATATGCTTACTATTGTTAAAATATTTTAGCTGATCCATTCTCCAGCCCTTCTAAGGTGTAATCTCTGAGCATTGAATTAACCATTTCTCAATAAAATATGATAAGTGTAGAGTGAGCAAACAGTGCATTTCTAAAGAAAGGAATCCTTGTACCATTGTCTTTTTCATTTCTACTTGCCCCTCTGAGACAACTTTTTAAATGTCTGATATATGTCACATCATTGAGCACTCTTACTACTTAAAATGATGCTCCCTTTTATCTGGGCCTCATTTCAGGGAATGTAATGTGCCCCAGGCCAGGGGATTGCTTCCCATTTCTCGTAGTTAAATCTAGCCTCTTCCATATTCGATCAGCATAACTGAGAAAAACCATTGCTTATGGTCTAATTAGATCAGTTTTAATTTTTAATAAAGCCCTTGAGAAATTGTTTATGTATTTAATTTTTATGATAATTTTAAAATTTAAGTTTAGATTATTTTTATGAGTATGTGATAAAAAATTCTCATCTAATTCAAGAATTAATTTCAAAATCAGTTCTTGTCATTCAGATTTTCAAAATAATTCAGACTAAGAATTTACAGTCCTTAAATCCATAATGTAATTTTTTAAAAATAAATTTTCATTTCAGTACTGGTGTAAAAATTTCAAATACATTTGGAGATGGGGAAGGTGTCATCTGGCTTGATGACCTCAGTTGTACTGGATCAGAAGATGAACTTGAAATTTGTCCCAATCTTTCTTGGGAAAAGCATAATTGTGAACACTCTGAAGATGTTGCCATTAAATGTTTCAAAAAAGCAAATACAACTTTATCATTAACCACAAGTATACCCCCAACATCCTCTACAGACCAAAATGGTAAGTCAGCAGTTTTTCTGATTAACTCCTTCTGATTTTTGTCCTTTAAAAGAAGTATTCAGCAGTAAATAAACCAAGAAGAGTTGATATGCCAGTAAATTATCAACCTAACCTTTGTAGACATTGTAAGGATGCAGAATTTGCATGAGGTGGAGATAAATCACCTGGGTAGCATGATGGCCAATTCCTTTTCTAAGTGGTCTGTGGTATATTCACCAAGCATAACTAAATTAAACCCACTACTTTGCAAATATCTAAAAATATCAATTAAGCCATTGCATATATGTTGAATGGCTAAACTAGTATCTGTTGTAAATGATTTCATTCTTTTTACTTGATTTCCTCCCATTCCTTTTTGTCATTTTTCCAGAATCAGAAAAAAATAACAGATTTTCATTATCCTGTGAACCTTCCCCTGGTTAAGTTAGGCTGTTTTGCATTTTCCAAGTTAATGTGAATAAGTTTTGTTCCCAGTTGAGATTCCCAACCTCCCCAGTTTGTTTTTGTCCCCTTTTTTCATATTAGCTAGGTCAGACTTTGTTTTTTCCCACTCCACTGTTTCATTTTTCCTTCCCTACTCTATTCTTGAGTGTGCTGCTTGATTCTGTTGAACAGCAGAATACAGTTGCCACTCTCATTATTTTAACGGGTGAACAGGTCCTACTATCATTTGTTTTATTTTATTTGGGCTTTGTTTCATTCTTTAGTTGTTTTTATTTTCATTATTGTATAATTTTTTATATTTTTTGTAAAAAAAAAAAAGAAAAAAAAGACATTATAAATTTTTACATCATGGGGTGGTTTGTAGGTTCCTTGTGAACATGTAGGATTGAGTGGTGATGGACAAGTTCTTGTGGTGATAGAGTATATTGTATTGAATGAATGTGTTGTGACTCTGTTTCACTAGGACTAAAATAGTTACTGAGTACCAGCCTTCCCCACCTCCCCTTCGGCCTTGTGCGACAATATTTGTAAATTACAAGAATAAATATTCATTCTGAGTCAGACTGAATCATTCCACTATAGATTCATTCTGAGTCAGATTAATTTTTTTCTTTCTTGGAATATTCCATTTTCTGATAGGCAAAAGTAAATCCATTTTTGTCCACATATTGTCCAGTTTTATACCATTTTTTGTCATTTGTTTTCGTGGAATATCTTAGTGTTACTTGTGACCTTTTTGTTGTTTGTTCTGGTGAGGAAACCCCTCCATTGTAGCAGATTCTCCTCAACAGCAGTCAGCATCAGCACCCTCTGCAGTGTCAGCATTGGCTGCTAGTAGGCCAAAAAAAGAGCCTGGAGAACTACATGGTTCTAGGAAAAGCATATGTCCTATACCAAGGGAAATTAATTGTTGACCATCCCATTGTGACAGCTTCCATTAAAGCATGCATAGCCATGGGGATTATGTACTGCAAATAAATATGGGAAAACTTCATGGTGATCCCAGAAATACTATCCTGTTGGGGTTGCAACATCCTTCTCATTGTGGAATGTCATTGCCCCTGCTGCTGGTCCTGTGGTGCTGCAAGGCACTTGTCAAAGATAGGTCCAGCAATAATAGCAGAAGCTGCTAGCACTGGTGGTGTTGGCACAACTAGATTTGTATATGGAAGTGGAAGTGATGCCTCCATCTCGATCTTCCTCACTGAAAAGGGGAAGGAAAGAAGAGGGAGGGAGAGAAAATGTCAAAAAAGGAAAAGAGAGCTGGTCAAAATAAGGTGGAGAAGGCCCAGGCAGAAGCCAAGACCCAGTCTGCCCCTGCTTCACCAGTAAGAACTGAAAGGAACCAACAGTTATGTAATGATCGGAACCTCCCTTCTTCCTTTTCTAGGGTATTGATAGTTCCAGACCCTGCAGATTTCTGTCCAGTATGCATCTAAGGGAGGTCCCTTCAAAATGTCTATCAAGTGATCCAGCTTGAATGTGAGGGCCTTGAGATATAGGAGTAACACTGCCTGCCTGCTTCATGATCTTTTGTCCTTTGGTGTAGATGTAGCCATGATCCAGGAGACACACTTTCTTTGCAACATTCATGCTTGTGTACTATCTATCGACTTTGTTGTCTATTCAGCAAATGAGAACCAGCTGGCCAGAGGTTTTTTTCTTGCTGGTAAAACATACACTGGATGTGAAGGTGGATCTTGTCCATGTTGATGCAGGAGTCCAGTTGATTATGGCCAATATTGCTGTGAGCAATAGTTCATTTCAGATTGTTGCAATTTATGTGCTTAATGACCAGACAAAGTATGTCTCCTTTTTTCCATTGGTTAGTGCTGTTCCTGATGGATTTGTCTTGCTTAGTCTTAACAGGGAATTGTAATGCTGTCCTGGACCCCAAATTAAGGCATGGGCAGCTCGTGGGAGGGTGGGCAATCATAGTTTGGTTGATCTGATTAGCAAGTTTTGGCTCGTCAATAGATACCAGGTCAATCACCCAAAACAGGAGATATGGATGTGGGCTCTTAAGTGGCCATCTACCCAGGTCATCAGCTACCTGGATAGAATGTTAGTAAGAAGGCTCGATATAGATTTGCTAAATTGTCCCATTTTCAACTGGATTGGGCTATACGGACCATAGACTTGTCTGTACCTGAATTGTGGCCTAGAATGGCTGGATAATGAAAGCTCAATCTATCTTTACTTGACAAGTGGGACTTCTGGCTGCAGCTGACTAAATTAGTGTAGCAGGAATTAGTGAGGGGATTATTGGGAATAAGTGGTGGTAGAAGCTCAAGGATAGCATTAGGACTTTCACCACTAAATATAGCCAATATCTCACCTTAGATAACAGGCTATTCTGAAGAGACTTCAACTTGTTAACCTTATCTTTTCCTTTATTGATCCCCTTGTCAGGACTGTAATATATTAGACAAAATTCCTAACAGCATAGAAATGGCTCCTTCTCTCTTTTCATCTGCATTCATCTGCAAACATTTTCATGTTTGGTGATTTTAATGCTCATCATATCAAGTGGCTTAAGCATGCTAATATTATTGATGTTTTCTGTGTTCAGAATTTCAATTTTCCATTAATCAGTCTCTTACTCAAATAGTGGATTTCCTTAGTAATTTCCTTAATAAATCTGATTAACATTCTTCATTCCTTGATTTGTTTCTTTGTATTCCGTCATTTGTATGATGCTCATGTGTGGGAAGTTTGTCCTGGCTTTCCCACATGAAAGGATTATGGTTAAATGTGACAGAATTGATAAAAGAAACAACAGCTTGAAAGATTAGAGCAGACAATTCTCTCTTTTAGGCAGATTAAAGACTCAAACTCCTGCTCAGGATGTAACAATAAAAGAAGAAAATGTTTATTTACATACACAAGAAAGGTAAAGGGTTTACACAAATGTGAGAGAAAGAAAGGGACAAGAAAATTCTTTTAACTTAAAGGAAGAAAAGATGTTCTTAAAAAGGCTTGCCCAAAATATTTCTTTCAGCACCTAGAAGTTCTTTAAGCAAGTAAATTGTTCTTAAGGGGTTAACCTGTTGTTTTCAGAAATCAGAAAAGGTGTCAAGTACACACTGCCAAAGAGGTGAATATTCTCCATATTTATTTAGATTAGAAGGCTCAGAAATTTCGGAAACTTTCCCCTCTAAAATTGCTATAAATTTTCCTGGCCCTCTCATTCCATAGAAAATATATTCTTATCTCTGATAAGAATCAAAGTTTTGGATGCTGCTTTTTGGAAACAAGGGTCTGACAAGTTGTGAGCATTACAAACCCCTCACGCCCAATTGTATGGCACCATGGTTAGGTCAGATTCCTTTTTATATTTTCCAGTCACTCATTTGTCAGAAAATATATTCTTATCTCAGATAAGGATCAAGGCTTTGGGAGTGGGATTTGAAAGCAAGGGAAAAAGTTTGAAAAAAAATAGACCAGAATGTGAACTTGTAAAACATTGTAGTAGTTGTTCTCAGATTAAATTCTAATACCTGCTATATATCGAAACATTCTTGATTCTGCATTATATTGAGAGATTCTCAATTCTTGGTAAAGTTCAAAACAGAATCTGCAATGATATTGGTTTGTGGTGGTACTGAGCAAGCGAAGGACCGGATGTTAACCCTCAGAGGTCTAGATAGCAAATGACCAATACTGGTCTTTGCGCACCAGGCTCGACGCATAAGTTCCGGTGGAAAATCAAAAAGAAATAAAAAGAATATAATAAGCAATTTCCACCAATGAAACGGCCCCGCGCCATATCCAACAGTTTGTTTCAGCATACTGACTCAGATCCGATGGACACACATAAATAGAACGATGAATTCACTTCTGGGCAGAAAGCCTTGAAGTTACCGTCATAGAATGTCGCTATGCTTTTCTCACCCATCAACCCGACGCCTCCAATTTTCCTTCACCAACGGAGATATCAAATGACACCTACCAACCCATTGACCTCACCCTTTCATCTCCTGGGACCTGCACGCCTAAACTTAAGTATTCACAAAAATGACACTTTAATTCCTTTCATAATCTGATTTCTTTTCTTTGAATGAACATTTTAATAACGGACTTTGTGCATGTTAATCAAGAAACATTATACTTATCATTGATGTGTATTTAAATATAAAGTGTTTCTGATATACCCTTCTCTTTTCATATTTTGTTTGTTTATGTTATGGTGACCTCAATTTGATTGCTTGTTGAACCTTTAGGCCAAACTAGCAGCTGTCCATAAGTGACTGCTACTGCTTACCTACCTTCTTATACAAGCAACAATTACCAACGAATATACACTTCCCACAACACCACAAGTGTTGACCGCCCGACGTGATTTTAACACATATATATACACACACGCACAACAAAAAAAAAATTGAACTGTCACAAAATTAGAATTTTTATTCAACACAAACCAAAAAACATGGCAGCTGACGCTGAAGAAACTACAATTAATCAAAACCAACCTATCCAAGCTGTTGCGATAAAACCACCAAACTTCATTGAATCAAACGTAATAGCTTGGTTTTGCGATAATGGAGGCGCAA